AAGCATTATGGCAGAGGATAGTCCTTCTAACTGATAGAAGTGGGTTTCCCTCCTTATAAACCAGTTCGGCCGGTCCCAGTGCAGCCCAGCAGAATCCTTAAACTTTCTCAGGAAGTAGGGGATAAGTAGGACTAGGGTGAGAACTTCATGCCCCAATTGCTTGGGGCGGGCCTTTAGCAACTGAAAGTTGGGACCGCCTCCAGCTCTGGCGGGCCTGCTTATTATTGAAAGCTCGGTGCGACAAACCAATGCTGTAGTAGATATCTCTCCTCATATCAATACCTCTACTGTTCCTAATTCTCTACAAACAACAAATATACATCTGCCATGTGATCTCGGGAAAAATATGACACATTTCGGCGCCAGTATTCTCCCAGGAGCTATAAAGCCTATAATTATAGTGTTCCTCATGAGCCTGCTCGAGATTTAATGTAGGGCTTGAGCCTCCTAAAATAAACTCGGGGATTAAGGCCCTAGCTAGGTTTTATTGGTGGTCACCTAGTATCACTCGCTAGAACAAGCTACAAGGGTATTGTGAAAGTATTGTGAGGAGTGTTTTGCACGGCAAAGAAGATTGTGTGATAGAGAACGATGAATGCTTAATTGTCTAGAAAGGAAGAGCGAGCAGCTCTTACTATCTACTATTGTGAGCGAGACAATAAGGTTGAGCGAACAGTAACAAGAAATGTAAGGAGGTATCTTCAATAGTACCGGAGGCCTAGATGTGTGCCTGGGGTACGAATTGATGCAAGGAGAAAAGTAATAGTCTGAACGATGCCACAATATCCGTTACTGGTAGTGTCAGAAGCCATGTTTCAACAAATGGGATCAGCATAACGAACCCGTGGAGTGGATATGTTCCAAACAGTAAGCGTGTGAAAACAGATCTCCAAATTCTGCGGCGAACATCAGTTTTCCACATCGCCAGCCTGCCTAGCTTCTGTAAATTCATCGAGGGCTGTAGGTTTAAAGCAGATCCAATTGACTACCCCCACCCAGGATTTCTCATTTCCATCTAACCCACCCCCAACCCTCAACCTCTCACGAGTCCAGCCAAATTTAGGGGTAGAGTGGGATCCATACTAGGTTCCCCGCTACGGGTTAGGTCAACAAAGATGTGTGTAAACGGCCCCCCGGGCATCGGAAAATTCGAAGTTATTGAATTTCTAGCGCCCTTGCCTACTAGTACCTCCAGGACATGTACAAGGTAATCTTAGAGATACCAGTCTCTTCCCCTCTTCCCCTCTATTCCTTGCCGATTTGAAATGAAGAGATAAAACCGTTTGGAAAAGCTCGAGCTAGGTTTGGATGAGCTCGAGTCGGCTCGGTTCATAAGGAACACTGAGCCTATACCAAAAAGTCAAAGCCAGCTACAGCCGACAGAAGTCTCCGTGAAACAGGTGCCTCCTACGATACCTAACTTCCCCACACCACCGTAATCCCCCCGAAAGCAAACCCCTATTTCGTGGAGACTGTGCCGGTTGGTGTTGGAAATCGCGAGGTGCTGCTCGGCACGCTCTCGCGATGATTTGCTTGTTTGTTCGGATGCGTGCTTTGGGTTCGGGGGAGCTATGGCTCCGGGCGCACATTGGTTCCCGCCCGCGCAGTTTAGCCTTTCGGGAAAGCACTTCGGTCACGGGAGTGTGCGGGAGTCGTGGGGAAGCACATCAATTGGAAGGAAGGCACGAAGGAAAGCGGAAAGACCATAAGGAGGACCGGAGGCTAAGTAGCCGAAGTTTGTCTTTCTTTGTTAGCTTTTCTTGTTTGCTAGTGTGTGGAAGACGTACCTGGAAGGATGGGGGGTTAGGGCCTTGTCTTTTGTGTCATTGATATATACTCCTGTCATTACCGTTAGTTAGTTAGAGAGAGCGTTAGAGAGGTTGGCGAGTTGAAGAGTTTTCTCCCCCCTGTCAGTTGTGCGATCGTTTCCCATGTGATCTTGGCGTTTCGTTTCCTTTCACAGGCCATCACTCGTTTAGATTACTCGTTTAGTTTCGTTCCGCCGCCGTACCGCCGTTCTTTCTTTCGTTCATTTTCAATATTGCGATAGTCTCCGCCGATCCGACCTTGAAAAGTTGGCAGTATCCGCCACCCCTGAACCCGCGCCGAAGCGGTGAAGCAATCGTCCGGGAACGGGGTGATGACTAAACTCTTTCTCCTAAACCCTAAGGTCAAAAATAGGCTGGAACTTTGGTCTGAGAGCAGCCATTGAACTGGTCTGGGTCACCTTTAGAAAAAACGACACCTTATCATCCCATTTTGGCAAGACCCGGTGATTGTGCATGCTGAATTGCTCGGGACAACCGACTTATACAGGCAGTTTGGTATAGGGCACTCCGGGTGTATGCTGTGGTACTCTTGATTATATGCAGCCCCCCCCCCCTCAAATTGTGGGGCCGCTGATATCGTGGAGGTGTTGGTCCTCTTATCACTGCCCGGATAATTCGCTTCCTTACAGTACCGTATCCCACTAATACCATACCATAAGGGATGTGGAGTGCTCGTATTGTACTGTACCCAAAACGGTATACGACACGCTGGTGGTGGGCTGAGCTCTATTACGGCCCCTTGATCCCGGATAACCGCTTACAGCGACAGGGGGACAGTTTGACAAAATGCGTAGATATAAGCGCTTGGTAGCGTATGAGGAACAGCGTGAGATGGAAGGTGAGACTGGGGAAGAATCAAGCTGCGCCCACAATATTCTCATCCACAGTTCTGGGGGTTGGTTATCCGTGGGCTTGGGAACCTAAATGACAGTATCCTTACCTCACCTGCAGGGGGACCGGTAACCCCCCCTTTAGCGTTTTCATTGGGATTTAAGGTGTTTCTCCGCACTAGCTCCTATAGCTGTGGCTAGTGAGTTCACTGTAAGTGACAGTACAGCACCCCGTCGGGGCCCACTGGGCACTATCATGGGCGGTTTATGGTCACGAAAGATGGTGATTCTTCTGGCTATCCTGCGTCTTTCAGAGTGTTCGTTGCGCTTACTTTTTTTCCTGGAGCTGTACTTTGTACAAAGATATGTATCTCCCGGCGTAGCCTTGTCTAACGTCTCTATTGGCCGCCTACCAGTCCATCATCCTTCCGCGCTCAGTTAGGTTTAGCCCACTCTTATCGCACTCTCACGGTCTCATCCATTAGTGCTTTCCCTAGGTTCCATACCGATGGAATATATCGAGCATCATATTATAATCTTACCATAAGTTCCTCATTCCCGAATTTTAAACTCAGCCTTATTCACAATACTTGGTTATTAAGAGTAGTATCCGGTAGGCTTAGAGCACCTAGGATGAGTTTTGTGAAATGGTATAGTATGTAAGAAGTGTAGAATGCCCACAAAATCCGTTCAATCTGCCAGATGCGCTGTTTACGCTCCCCACCTTTCCAAAGCTATATCCAAAATTAGATGGACTCAGCAACCCCCCGGGGTTTAGGTGAGCCCAAGTGGCAGTTTTGGAGATACTGATGACCAGCCTAGAAAATGATGGCCTGTGAGGAGTTCAGGGATAGCGCCAGATGTATTTATACCGTGAACGCCGGGGGGGTGTATTTATCTATAGATTACGATACCAGCTAGTCTAGATACGGTAGAACTCTAACGACACAAAAGCTATAGGGCTTTGGCGGTTGATTGGGATGTTGGTGCGCACAGCTCTACCCGTTCGTGCTCTCAATTGGGACTCCGAGCACGATTAAATATTCAATAACAACGGAAAAGGCCTAGGCGCGCTCTCGTAATATCTTGGGTGGGGTGTGCTGATTGAGGAGCGAAATGGAAGGAGAAAATATGGGTGGAGCGCTACATCCCGCACTTAATCGTCTTGAGGGAATGCAGGTAGGAAACTAGGGCATGGGAAGGCAAGACCGAGCGATATGACATGAGGAATAGGAACCTGACTTAATGTGAGAGCTTAATCTGTTATAGATGCAACGAAAGGGGTAGGTAGAGGAAATGAGATAGAAAATGAATGCGGACTCGGGAAAGACATAAAAGCAGAGTTATTCTGATTCCGAAAGCCATTCAGCAGGCCTTCCATCGACCTAACTGTGTTTCCAGCCTAGCAGTCGGCAATTAACCGAAACCACATTCCACTAGTGCTAACGATATATATGTGCTCTAATTCCTTCCTTCTCGTGCGCCCAGCCCCGGCAATGTGGTATAGAGGCAGCCCATGAGAGGATAAAACCTGACGCAAGTATGAGAGGACAAGGGGGTGGTACTCTCACTGCATATTCTGGGGGTGGCTGGGTGTGGAGGGATTGTGAGTTAGACGATCAATGGTGATGTTAACTAAGAATACACCCGGTGATATATATCTTCGTATAACTAACAGCTTCTGAAACCGAGAAAAACAAACACTAAAGCTACACTCCTGGAAACATCGTGACCCCCCGGGATTCCCCTAGACCCTAAACTCTAGATTAGTCCAGACCACTAAATCTAATGCCTTATCCCAGCTCCGATCGCCAAGAAAAGTAGACAGTACAAAACCAACTACCATATGCGAACTTAGGGGAAAAAATAATAAGAACAAACTAAACTCAATTCTGATGCCTGATCTGGTTGGAAAAGGGTATCCACAAAGATAAAAAAAACCCCGCAGCCTATGCCTATCGGCACAGGATGTGAGAGCAACAAACCACTATCATATATCATACCATGAGCCTAGCCACCGCATACCCCAAAGCCACAAGTCCTATAACCCCATATCTCCTAACCGCATGCCCGATAGGCAAACCAAACAGCGAAACGCGAAGACCCTCTCTTTCTGCCTTCCCTCTTCCTTTATGATAAGATCCTTACTCTTGATTGGCTATTCCATTGGTGGCGGGGCCGCATTATTGTCGACAGGAGTCAGTCCCGGTTTTACTAGATTAGTGAGTTCGTATATCGCCGGCAGGTTCACTTTGCCTTTGCGTTCTATTAGGATGGCCAACACCCACCGGACGAGGTGAAGGAAGATGAGAACGATTGGGACAGAAACGAGGACGCGAACGGATAAGGTGTAGACATCCACCCCCTCGATCACAAATCCCGCTATCGAGGGGTCCACGGAGCCATCAGGTCCCTCAGCACTGTTTACCCCACCTACGGAACGATATGTGGTGGTATCTCGTAGTACACCCCGATCACTTATCCAACTAGCCTTCACCCAATGCTCAATGTCACTCACAACACTGTATGACTGTGCATCAAGAATGTAAGAAGGATCCACTCTATTATAAAAGGTTGCGCTTAGGGACCTGGATTTAAAAGTGTGTAGCCCCGTCACACTGCCGAGGCTGACCACGCGCGGGACCAAAAACTCATGTGGGAAGACTTTCTCGACCCAGAATTTGTGGAGGTTAAGGCCAGGCAACTTCTTTAGTTGTGTATGTTCCACATCTTGGCCTTTGAGATGCCACCTTTTCGCTTCCCAGCAGCTTAGAACAGGGCGCTTGGAGAGGACTTGGTATGAGTGAGTGCCGTTAGTTCGAGGCTGTTCGGTGGAGTACCATGGGTCTTCGCTTGGAGTGCGACTATAATAACCGGCGGTGTTGATAATCATAGCATAAGACATGTTGGAAGATCGCTCACGCAGTTGATTGTCATTGATGAAGAAAGTTACCCTTGGCGGAAAACCCAAATCTCCATTGCGTTTGATTCGGAAGGTGTCATTCCCACCCCAAGCCCTATAGGTATCCTCCTCGCCGGTAGAGTTCACTAGCCATGTATAATCCGTATGACATGAGCCATTAACCACCAGTGTCAGCCTGGGATCACTTTGCAATCCCATGTCCATCCCAGTGATGTTGTAGCCGTAACTCAGTCCGGCCCAAAGGTTAGGTGATTGACCCTCCGGGGGGTTCAATTCCTTTGTAATGACTCGCTCCTCGACTTCTAGACGAGGATCCCCATATCGGAGTGCGAGGAGTCCCGAAGGAGCTTTTAGAGAAAACACCTTTTCAAGCCGACCGCCAGTGCCATTGTCCCCACCGAGAGAGTCTAGATCGGGATAGAAGATGTAGTCGGGATTAGCGAGTGCATAAGATCCTTTCCAGATCTTCCCGGAAATGAAAACACCAGCGGCGAGTTGTCCGACCCAGATAACACCATAAATGCAGATAAACAGTGCGAGCCACCACAAACTATTACTGCCAGTCTTGCTGCTTTTCTCAGGTGATTCTGCCTGGCCTTTATCCGATGACTGTTCCTTGCTCCCGTCCGGTATTTTTTCAACATGGTCCGGACCATTCGACCTGGACTCTGGATTTTCTCCTGAAACTACCTCTGGATCAGATGGTAGAGGTATCTGGAGTTGCGCTGTAGGGTCCTGGAATTCCGGGTCCTGATTCTTGCTCTTCTTCCTCTTAGTCCTAATCGCCTTGCAGTAGCCCCACATCAGCCGTGCAGCTTGACCTGCCCCACCGGAATTCCAGATGATTACGAAAGGAAGGAATCGACGTGAATCCTTGTCGGGTGTCCATAATGTCACTATAACCAATACAGCGAGGTCCCATATGACTCGAAAAATGTACACAACCATGAGGAGATAAAGTGAGATGATGATATAGCCAGCACTAGTCTTCAGGGCAACTCCGGAGTGCTCTCCTGAGGCAGACGGTATAGTAAAACGCTTGGTAATGCCCGTAATATAAGGGTCGTCTGGGGTATCTATGAAGTGGTCCATAGTGAGGCGATGCGGTACTGATATAGTGTGATCTGGTTTCGTTAACTTAATAGGCACTTACTAGTACTGGGGAATGGGGATATGGCAGCTGGCTACCTACAAAGATATGAGCACTATCGTTCGCTGGGTTTGCTCCAAGATCAATCTTTGAAGAGGTGGGGGATGTCGTCTTCCCGCGAGGACAAGTTGCCGGACAATATTCCCTACTCACCCCGGTGGATGAAGTGAAGAGTATATCTGAAATTTTGACTTGGGATAGATAGAGAAGCTTGGAAGTAATGAGAAATTATTATTGGAAAATCCGAGATTTGTATAAGCTTTTCTCAGTTGCCAGAATGAAGGCAAAGCATCCTCTATACAGTGTACCCTATGCTTATTATGACATCCCTTCACCCAGTGGACATCGTCCGGTGCGCTATGGGCATAGTTGCTTTGATTTTCTATCAGTGGCTCTAGACCCAAATAGGTGATAACCTCCATGTTTACCCCGCTTGAGTTAGCGAGCCAGCCTCAAGCTTCCTATCACTACTAGAAACACTGTATAACATCCACTCTTGGGCCAATTCTGAAGGTGGGGCATCATTTGAGCAGGGTGGTACAATATGTAGAAGCACTCCAGGTATACGCTCGGCCCTTCACGGCGCGCTTTGGGGTGCAGTAGTGTACATGTTTCAGCGGAAAAGAAGCAATACTCCCAAAGCCATTAATTGGCTGCTACTTAGACCGAAAAAGCCACAAAAAGGGTAGGACATGGTGAGGAGCAATGACTGAAGCATGAAAGCTGGGTGCTCGGAGAGGTGATCTGCTAGTGGGTAATCTAAATAAATTACTGCAAAGCTATTTTGATCTGCGATCATATGATCCGCCCAGCGGATTAAAAGAAGTGCGAAAAACACTGATGCAGCACACTTAGGGAGCAGTCGCAGGTCAATAGTCATGTCCAAGAAAACTGATTTGAGTGCGCCCATACTCCCAATTTCCCAATTCGGGGGTTCATGCGTTCATGCCATGCACCTCGGCCATCATGAACAAGATTTTTGGATCCTTCAAAGTTATTTGGGAACGAGCTGGCTGTCACAAATGAAGGCCTTTCGAGTACAAGGAGTGGGTGGGTATTTGAAATCCCGGATGCACAACTCTTAAACCGGTAAGACAAGTTACCGGGTATGGAAATGTCTCCTATCTCCTGGACTGCTGAGACTGTGGAAAATTTTGTGCCGCCTCTGTTGGTGTCTGAGACACAGGTTAATAAGCAAATTCCGTGAATTACCATAAATTCGCAGATGTGCATACTTCAGACTGCAACTAATATTAGTCGCATGATAATACCTACGCCTGTCACTACTCAAGAATACTGAGTTGGTCTATTAACCATCTATGTCTTAGGCACTCAGAAGGGTCGGATCGGGGCCGGAAAACCAAACACACAAAACAGGTAAGCTTCACTCACTTACAAATCGAATAGGCAATTCAACCTGCACACACAAAAAAAGTTCCGAAAGAGGTCCGTACAAATTAAATTGATCCAAAGAAAAAGAAAGAACAAACACAAAGGTGAATTCCCAAACGTAGGTACAAACTTCATAGTTGTATGTTGTCTTTGTCTTGCATCCACAGGTTTGTTCTCCGTAGTCCGATGTCCTTCGTTCTCCACTCACGGGCTTGGCAGGGAAAGGGAGTGAAATCCCCTTTTCTCCCTCCCTGGTCCATAGCATATCACCCATGGCTAGTCACAATCAAACCCTAACAAATCAAACAATAACCTAACCACCATTACAAAACAAAACCTAAGTTTCAAACAAAAGAAAACAAACACATTTTTCTCCCCACAGCACTGACACGGGCGGCACAAAATTTTCCACAGTCTCAGCGGTTCGGGAGATAATCGAGCCGCGATGAGACAATAGTACTCTTATGGTGGAAGCCGTCTAGACACAGTAGTAAGTGGGACGCTCCGGGGGACGCAATGGGGGACGCCTTGGCATTAAATTTGGCTGAACAACAATGGGTTGAGGTTTAAATGACTAGGGTACTTCATATATTTTCTCTATTATAATATCACATCGCTTATTTTTATGTATAATTTAAATGATATTATATTTTTATTATATGCTGGTATGGAAAATACATTAAATATATAAGAGAAATTTAAATACAGATTGATATTAAACATATTTGAAAATATACTCTGGTTTCATGATAAGAATATTAGACAACATTCACACGTCTGTGAGATTTATATCTCCTTGACACCAGGTTTTTATAGCTCTCTGAACCATAAACCTCACCAGTACTATAGGCGGTTATAATACACTGTGTTCGGCAGTAATACTTCCAAATAAGAGTATTTGGCACCTGTGCTAGAGCTTCTGGAACCAATCTCTGGAGGGAAGGAAAATCGTAACCACAATTCTGACGTGTATATTGTTTGGCTGCCCCCCAAAAGTATTCAACGAAGTTAATCTCGCAGTGAAAGGCTGGGTAAAATAGGACCAAATGTCCAGCTCCTTCAATTGCCTCCTCAATTTCTCCTTTCTGGGCCTTGAAGTTAGGTTGTAATGCTAGCAGTGCTCTGGCACAGCAAGTACCACCTCGCAGGCATTTTGGATTGGGTGTCAAATTTCTAGCAGGTGTTTTGGTACTGCATTGAGTAAGAAACC